ATCATCAAAAGACGAAGAGGTGATCATGGTATACCTCTAAGCTCCAAAAAATCCGAATATGAGACACCATAAGGGTCCTCAACATAGCACCAAAGTTCTGCCACTTCCCAAATACGAAATGCACTACAATTTAGGACCTTTCACCATCAAAATGGCTCCTTAAAGCCTCCAAAGACAAGTAGGTGGCTTCCTCCAAGAGAACCACCAACTCAGCCCCCACAACCTCTCAAACTAAGAAGCTACACTCAGAAGTGGAGCACCTTTCAATCTCTCAAGGCTTAAGCACACTCAAATATGAAGCCTTTATGAAGAAATCAAGAGTAAAGGTAATCTCTTGAAGGTTTTCTATGGAGAAGAAGGATAAGGGAGGGTGAAGGAGAGGGTGGCAGCCAAATGCATTAGAAACCTCTACGTAGGCACATCAAAATCTGATCTAGGTTATTGTGCAAGTGGCTATATATAGCCCACTTAAGTTTAATCACACAGTAATAGCACTAATAGCTACGCTTAGAATTTAAATCCCAAACTTAGGATTCTGAACCTACTCATTTTTCTAGGATTTATCATATTTTTATTTTATTTTTCGCAGCACCTTCCCGATACGCGCTTTTCCATAGCCAGTATCAGTTCTGGCACTAGTTCTCATTATTTTGACCTGAAACTTGTTTTACTAGTCCTATATAATATTCTAAGAATATTCATGCACTTATTATAATTTTTTGGGATACTTCATCGGTACGCATTTATACCAAGTAGCAGAATCGGTATTTGCATTTTTCGTCAGAAAAATGACTTTCAGCATTATTACTCACTTACTATAATTATTATGGTCAATTATGGAATTATTTCCTAATTTATCTTAATTAATTAATTAACTTCCTTAATTAACAGTGCGGGTTCTTACATACATCATCATATAAACATGCCTGAATACATAAATGTACATGCATCGAAAAGGAAAACATGTACAAAACATATACATGCCATATACAAAATAACGGACAAACATCATGATCCCGAAAATAAATGGAATACTAAAACGATATAAAAATACTCCAAAATGATAGTAGCATACTGTTATCCAAAACTTGATCCACTACAGCACCTCTAGCCGCGGGTCGTATCCTTTCCCCTTGAGGGTTCACCAACAATCTATACACCTGAGATGATGTCCCCAAACAAGGTGAGATAGCAAATCTTAGTAAGCTCAAGGTTTATAGAGGATTCTCCATACCTTAGGCCCACTCCTGCATAAAAGTCATATACATAGCATAAAAGGCATCGTATAAACAAACATCATAACTAAACAGAGCATATACACATATATTATAAGAAGTGTACGCAGCCATTCCCAAAAGAGAACCTCAAGCAGAAATAAACGCACTTGTTCCCAAGGGAGGACCCCGAGCAGAACCAAAAATATATCAGAGGTGTACATAGTCAGTCTCAAGGGGAGACCCCAAGCAAAAATCAGTGCACATAGATTCAATGGCCAAAGATCATTACAGAAATCACATCAGAACAAAACATATCCTGTTATCATATAGCTCTATATAAATGCATCTATACAAAACATCAAATACAATCATACAGTCCAACCATATTCCACTAACTATGGTGGAGCACACAAGTATGAGGAGACTCCGTAAACACAGAGCTTACCTCTTGGAGTTTTTTTTATTATCAAAATGCTTACTTGTAGCACAGTTCACTTATCTTGCTCCACAAGAATCCAAATGTTCGCAATCCCTAGGCACACCTAGAGAAGGAATTCAAAATATAAACTCAATAAAATGATACAATGCCATGTAATTGTACAAGATAGACACTTTATTGTTTACTTTCATTATTTCACACTTATGTCAATCATATGTCAACCCACAAGTCAATACCATAATTTCTTAAACTCAAATGTTAGACCTTTATAGGGTGATTACAAGGTTAACATGCAATCACACACACCAATAGCGTCTTAGAATGACCTAACCATGCTTCTAAAGTCCCTTTTACAAATTTCAACATTTTCTAGCCTCACAAAAGCCACAAGGCCGAAGCCAAGCCTAAGGGGGAGCTAGGGACCTTTTCTCATTTGCTTCAAGAAACAATGGTTCCTAAAGCTCTTACTTAGTCCCTAAGCTACCTATGTACCAATTAGGCAATTTAAGCACAACTTATGCCTATTCTTCCTTCACAAGGCCGAGGGGTGCACATATAGGGAACCAAGATGTCTTTCATCATTTCTTCAGCCATTTCACTTCATAATCATATCAATGCAATGTATTTGAACCTCAACACATCATCAAAACAAAGTTTAACATAATCCAACCCTAAATAACCCTAATGGCCGAAACATAAAAGGAAGGGTTCACAAGGATTTTTTATTTACACAATCAATTCAACACTTAAATCTCAACATCCACACACATACAAACCTTCACCAATCATGCAATTTAATTTTTGCACACTTAGAACACCATGGCTGAACCTAGTGGGAGGAGGTGCAAGTGAATTTTTCAAAATTTCTACACATATTCATGTTCATATCACATTACCACTTCATATACATTCATAATCCAACACAAATTCAAATTTCAAACTCAACAATTTCCTCCAAAACATGTTCATAAATTTCAAGACTTGAAACTTGAAAATCAAACCATGAAAATAGAGGTTTCTTACCTCTAAACACTTGTACAAGGTTTAAAGAACAACCTGCAAGCAAAACTCCAAATTTTTTTCTCTTGATGAATAGTGATTTGAAATGGGAGAAGAGGAAGAACTTTTCACACAAGCACTTTCTGCACAAACTAAGTAGTGGAATGGATTCACAAGGCTTCCTACTTAAATTTCCGTCTAAGATATCTAGCATTTGGTGGATTAATAAGCGAGAAAGAGAAGAAAAACAAAACAAAACCCTAACCCCCCCCCCCCTCACTTCACCATGGCAGCGCAGGTTTAAGAGAGAGAAAAGAGAAAATGGTGAGTGAATAGTGTCCTGTTTAAGTGACTTAAGCTTATAAGGACATGTGGCCTTTTAACGGGTGTTTTCCTCTCATTTAATTTCACTTAACTTGACCCGATATTAACTCAAAGCTGCGAGCATAATTTTATTATTCTGAGCTCATTTACATTAACTTTTATTCTCTAAGGAACAATTTTTACGATTCACAGTTGGGTTTCTACACTGTTTTTTATGAAATACACTGTGAATCACTAATTGTGCATTGTTTGCACGCCAAGCCGTAAAACTTCTAAACTTATAACTTTTGGTCTAAACATGACTTGTTTGGCATATATTGGACTTTCATATACTTATCACATCATTTATTTACTTATGGGCTCTGCCGGTTACTTAAACACGGTACAAAATACCCTACAGAAAACACTATTCACGAGATTTTCATGAAAAGTGCGAGACTACTCAATTTTACATTCCGAACTAGAATTTGGCATCAGAATTGCCAATTTAGATCTCCAACATCATTCTGCCCATTTATGAGCTCTACCGGTTGCTACATAGCAGTGCAAAATACTACGCAGAAGACGTTGTTCATGACCTAGTCATGATTACAGTCAAAATACTCGAAATCATATTTTGAATCTAATTATGACATTTAAATCCTTAAATTAAGTCTCTAACTAAGATTTATTAGTTAAGATCATTATAGATAAGGGAATAAATCCTAGTTTAAATATGAAGTTGATGCCTTATTTTAGAAAGTCCGAATGCAAGTGTTGCGTTGCTAGTTTCATAACTTGGGCTATACTTAATAAAATGGTTAATGTTATACCTTTTAGGAAAGCCCAAGATGTCTAGTTTGACATATTAAAATATAGGAACTAATGGTTATGTGGGTTATTCTCAATTTGATAAAACATGAAGATTGTTCAGTGTTAAGAATGAATAAAATGGGATTTTAGCCTAGTTGGTTTATGGGGACCATGTATAAGTGAAGTTTAAATATTTTGCACCATGTATGAGTTATGATTACAATTTGGAATTTTTTCAAATACGAAAAGAGTTTTAAGTAAAAAAAAATTATTAACAAAAAAGAAAAAATTAAGCCGTATTTTAATTCAATTGTTGAAATTGTAACTGCGCTTAATATCATACGAAAGGATAATAAACCGGAGTACTACGGAGCATTACAGACTTGATGGAAAAAATCATTTGGGATAAATGATAAAAAATAGTCATAAAGAAATAAGTGATTCTAAAAATAATAATAGGGGATTTTGAACTTTTCCTTTATTTTACACAGTTTTAGTTTAGAAAATAAAAGATAAAGAAAAAACATATTAGAATAAGAGTTTTTCAGTGTTCATTTACTGCACACGTATTAAACATTTTAATGTACTTCTCTGACTTCCCGCCGCACTATATATTTATCATACGATATTTCAAATCGTTACCATATTATCTATCAAATATTAATGAGGATTACGGAAAAATATTTCAGTATAATAGGCTGCAGAATTTTCCAACATGCTTAATAAAAATGGGCATGTGATAAGGTTTTTTACCCATAAATTAAAGAATTCAGCATTGTAGTCACAACGGCCGGGGTTAGGAGAGCCCAAAGCAAATAGTTGTAACACCATATTTTAATTCAAAATCTTAAGAGATTGGTTTCATGGTTCTCTTATTTGTATGAACTTTACTTAACCTATTAATTTTAGAACTTCGTCACAGTTAAATATCCAACAAATGATGGATAAAAGCTAGAGCCTAGAGTTCTCATATTAAGCCAGAGGAGTGTACGTGCTTGTGATAATTTCAAGGTTCAACTATTTTTATTCTAGAGTCATATTGGGCGCATGCATCTCAATTTACACTGACACGCTCCACTCACGTCTCACGCTGATGGAGCAAATGGAATTCTCACTCTTCCACACATTATTTTTTTTAGAAATATATATAACATGTCCCAACATCCACAAAACATTTATATAAGTGCTAACAATGCAATAGAATCCTAACCACTCATCCCCTAATTTCTTCATTTTTCAAATGTGCATATCCCAATGTCACAATCTGAGTTGGTATGGGTTGCAAAGCATGAAACTCCCTGTGTTTCATACGTGTCTCCTTGACTCAATTGAGAAGCCACAAACTTGTCAAGAGCCCTCCAATCAGTCACTTTCTTTGTGTTGTTGGTGTTGGATAATCCCTTTTGATCATCATTTTCGTTATTGTCTGAAATTTGGGACACTAAGCATTGCCTCTTTAGTAATGGCAAAGATTGACTTTCCAACCGAGGAAGCTGTACCAATTGGTGTGGGTTCATGAAGATCAAATTATCTGCTTCTATCTCTTGCTTATACAAGAAATTTTGAGCTAAAATCCTCTGAGGCTGCTTTAAGATGAGATCAATTGGGTCCATCATGTAACTGATGCTACTTGCTTGTTCCTTGTATAAGTAGTTTGGATCCCATTCTTCATTAGTCTTCGTTTTGATGTTAGTTTTTTTCTTGAATGCTTTGCACACAACCCATCCTTCCTCCTGCACACACTTTTGAAAGATAACATGAGAACTTCTCTGGGGTTCTTTCACTTTCTCTTGTTATGTATTATGTTTGACTTGACTATGTTAGCTAAATGTTTGGAATGATAAAAAGTAAGAGTTCGTGTTTCTCTTTTCATGCGTGTTTTCCCTTTACCTTTTGAAAATTTTCAGTCTGTTTGGTAAGAAGTAGTAGTCAGATTGTCAAAAATATAATTCATTACATTCTACTAATAAAGGTTGGCTCAACTATTAAAACGAAAAGTGAATATCACTGTCTCTAATGTGACCTATCTGACCATAGAATAAAAAAAAAAGGAAAATTCTTAGATGTTTTGTCGGAAAGAATGTTTGCTCTTAAAGGAAGAATCGTTCTTCCACCAAGAGAATATTGAGCATTGGATACTACTTGTTATGTGGACCCACTATGAGATTTTTTTAAAAATAAGGGTAAATATGATCTTGAACCAGAATTAGGGAGAAGTGCTCTTGCGTGTCGTAGACGGGAATTTTTCTTTTTTCTCGTAATCAGGATTAGTAGGAATATGGTGAAAAAATCAGTTTTTTGAAAATATTATTAAAAAGTTATTTGGTAGGCCAAAATATTCACCAGAATATTGGTTAATGTTCTAAATGTTGTGTTTAGTTGATTGTAAAATATTACTGAGAATAAAAATAGAGGTTAATTATGTCCCAAAAAAATTATCAAATATTCTCATCACATAAAATTCTCAAAATATGAATCTTGGGAATTGGACCTTCCCGGGAAAATTTTTACAATCTTCGTACAAAACGTGGGTAAATCAAATTCTCAATTTCACTTTCCTATGATTTAAAAAAATTTCCTTATACTAAAAACCCTCTTAAAGAGATATGATATAAAATTATTAATGAGTTTTCCTGACTTAAATTTACAACTTCAATTGGGTATTAGAGTCTCTCTGATCAAATGATCATGAATTTGATCTTTACTGCTCTCACTTTCTAAAAAAATTAAGTTTAACACAAGGTAAAACATAAAAAATAGACATATGTAATATCCACACTTCAAATTAAATGACTCTCACTTCTTAGTATAATTTTTTGGGTTGAATTAACATAGTCTGTTCCTTCTCTCTTCCTCAAAATATTTCTTCTGCCAAAAAAAGAAAAAAGAAAAATCCATTGATGTGTATGTTTGACAAAAGAAAAAAATTGTCAAGAAAAGTCAGTACGTAACAGAAAAGCGAAAGAATACGCTTTTGAAATACTTTTGACTTCTTGCTGGTGAAATTATAAGTTCTGTAGCAACTAGAAAGAAAGCTTGTACGTTCTGTGGTCTACGACGCAAAAGTTGTTCGGATATATATGTTAAGTCATAAAATGAGTTTAGAGAAACCAATCAAGTGCTTAATCTGCATTAACATAGAAACATCTACAAAGCACATGAGACTAAACTAACTTGAGAAAGGGCGTTTCGGGTGAAGGAATTTCTTGGAAGTTGAAACCCTCGAAGGTTATTAACACTAATTATGCTAGAAATAATGCTTGATCTCGAACTTAACGAACTATCCTTGTTTGATGTTAGAAGGAGGAAATAGTTAGGGCAGGGACTATGTGGATAAGGGAAAAACAAGTATCATGTTGTGGAATAATTCTCTTGTCGTGCTACATAGACAACAAGTGTGGAATCTATCATTTTTGAAAGAAAAAGAAAAAAATGCAGAAATATCGATGTATGTGTAAGAAATTTTATATTTGTCATGCAACATAGCAAATGCAAATGCAAAACCCATGTGATAATTAACTAATGGAAGGACATCTAAAGCAACTTATCAAGTTTAAATGTAACATTTCAAATAAAACCACACAAACTCGAAGATAAATAATAATTTAGTTAGGGATTTCTCCACTTGTTTATCCATTAATCTGGTTGAACAAGACTGGACCTTACTAAGTTTTGAACATGACTGCATATGAAAGACTCGAACTGATTAATAATCTAGTTTGAGAGTTCTCTGCCGCTTTATCGATTAATCTGATTATGCTGGACAAGACCGTACTAAGTTTTTAACACAGTTATGTGCCAAACACTTAAGTCATTAATAATTTAGCTATTAAGCAACAATGTAAAAGGATATATATATATATATATATATATATATATATATATATATATATATATATATATATATATATGCAGTATTGATATATGTTATGTATATGCTTGCCTGTGGAGTTCCATTATCGTCAGATTCAAGCCTATACTCGTGAATGATCCAATCAGTTTTTCGTCCATTAGGAGCTCTTCCTTCATAGAAAACGAGGGTCTTCCTCATGCCAATGAGTTTTGTTCGTTCAAACACTGACTTGTCTCTTCCTGTTGCCTTCCAGAACCCTGCCATGGTGGCTCTATTGGTTCTCGTTCCTGTTGGATATTTCTTATCTTTGTGGCTAAAGAAATACCACTCATTTTGCTCCTCATTCCCAATCCTGCATCTCTCTGTCAAATCATTCACAACCATGTTTCAAAAAAACAAAAAAACAAAAACAGAAAACAAAAGGCCAAATCAATTATATTTGACACTAAAAACCCTAATTTGATTCGGAAAAGTAAGTGTATATCTTATAGCACTCTATGTAGTATGTTTATGTGTCTATTACCTTGGAGATCCCATGGTTCAATACGATATAGATCGATCTCTCTGATAACGTCAAGATCAATCTTCTGAGAAGCTACTTTCTTTCTCAGGTAGTAACCAACAAGCTCTTCATCTGTTGGGTGGAACCGAAAACCTGGTGGGACACATGATTCCATTGACTCCATCATAGCAATTACTTGTGCTGCATCAAATTCACCACCACCATTAATACCCTCCACCCTTGACTTTCTCCATCATGTATAAATTATAAGCAATGAAGAAATAAATCTATATGTTTGTGTATGAATGTATATGAGAGATAGAGAGACAGTGAGAAGAGAAACCAAGTGAACCAAAAAGCTAAAAAGGCAAACCCCGAAAAATAGAAAAATATCAAAACCCTCTTAGTGAAAAGGTGACAAGTGTTTATCATAGATAAGAATAAATCTTTGGTACTGCTGCCTGTATTTAGATTCAGTGCATCTCATCAATGAAAGCATTACATATCAGAGGAGAGAAAAAAAAAATCTGACAGAAAAAATAAAATTTTAACTAACGTGTAATATTTTCATTTGTGAGATGTACTGAATCTTTGGTACTACAGTAGTACCAAAGATTTATTCCAGAGATAACCACGAGCTCAATTGGTGTGGCCAACAAATTCAATTGGAAAGGAAATAAAAATAAGCGCGTGTTATAAAACAAAACCCATAATTTGAGAAACAATGATTTTCTTCCATGGGCCAGGTTAAAAAATAAAATAAATAAAAATAGATGGATAGGCAGAAAAGAGAGAGAGAACCAAATCATGAGAGTTTTGGTTTGATGAAAACCATGAGGAGTTGGAGCTTAGACCCGTGTTTGTGAAGGGTATGCAAGAAACGGACAGCTAGAGGCTTGTGCTAATGATGTTGTCTTGTGTTAGTGAATGGTGAGAATGATTCATCAAGAACGGGGTTCCCCAATCCACGTTACTATTAATAATTATACATTTTCAAAAACAAGCTGAATATTAATTAGGCACATTAGTTGTTAAGCTCAAAATCACGCATAAGACGTGTTTAACATAAACAAAAACAACTTTTTTTTAGTAGAAAAAAGTTTAAATAAGGTTAAACATCAATATCTCATTAGAGTCTTTCAACCTTTTTAAAAATTTCTAGAAGAAATTACATATCACTTACTAATAAAATTCTCACATCGACCAACAAAATTTAAACCCATGCCGTTGAGGACCAAACTCATAATCAAATATGCCTACAATAAATAACTTTTTATAAAAGAATCTTTGGAAGTAATTTTTTTTTTTAAAGAAATAACTATTCCTAATTTCAGAGAAATGCATTGAAAATATTTTTTAAAAATAATTTAAGATGTTAAAATGTGTGATTGAAAGCGAAGAAGGAGGGAACACTGATCATTTTATCACACTTTAGCAAATTATTTTTCAGACTGTCATGCGAATAGTAAAAATTTCCGGAAAGCCACGCGTCATAATTCGCTACACTGTGCAGCGAAATATGTTTGCAAATAATTCGCTATACAGTGTAGCGAATTATACCATGTCAGGCTGCACAGTCAGCAAAAATGACACATGTTAAGCAGTCAGTAATTCGCTACACTGTGTAGCGAATTATGCTTATATTGGTGCCTGCTTGACACGTGTCATTTTTGCTGACCGTGCAGTATGACATGACATAATTCGTTACACTGTGTAGCAAATTATTTACAAACATATTTTGCTGCATAGTGTAACGAATTATGCCGCATGACATTCTGAAAATTTTTACTGTTCGCGTGGCAGTCTGATAAATAACTTAGCCAAAACATGACAAAATGATCAATGTTGCAAAAAGAAGAATGTCAAAATAGTCACAATGGGGAAGGGATGACGTTATCACAATTCGGGCACGCGTTTCATGAAAAGAGAAAAGCTTGAGAGGTCTTATTTTCCTTTGTATCAAGAAAAAGAAAAAGAAAAAAAGCTTGAGAGGCAAAAAGCGAGGCACCGTTGTATTGGATCAAGGCCTGCCACGAGAGAAGGGATAATAAAATGAAAAAGGGTAAAAGTTGAAGATAGAAGCACAGTATTGTGGAGTATGGAGTGAGCCATTAGCCAAAGTCTGTGTCTCATTATGGAAGCTGGGGCTCTGACTCTATTGTCTTTTTGTCGAGAATTTTCTTGGCACATCTGACTTCTTTACTTGACGGGACTGTAAGAAAATACTGACCCAAAACTTTATGGGTACTCTACTCTGTGCCGGACGTGCCTTCATTCTTTTGTTCTTGATTTTTAATTTCAGTATTTTTTTTTCTTTTGTTTAATCCATGAAGTGACTATCATATTAATAGGCTCACCTATAAGGCTATACTAAGAAATTTAATATTTCAATATTTGTTAAAAGAATGGGAGCTGCCACTTTAATAATTATATATATATTAAACTTCTCTTACACTCCAAGGAAGGATGAATATAGACATTTCCAAATTTCCATTTTAGAAACTGCTTTGTTTGTCAAGTTGAACGGGTTCATTATGACCAAAGAAAAATTTTAAGAGAACATAAATGACCCGGTGAACTGGTTTTGGAGGGCAAAAAAATTTATTTATTGTAATTTAATAAAATAATTACACATATATGACAGTTTTTGAAATTTTTACGGATCTAATGCACAATGTGACGTCACATTTGGGCGTCACATGTGACGCCCCAATGGGGCGTCTCTCCCCTAGGGTAAGATGCCCAATTGGGGCGTCACATGTGACGCCCAAATGTGGCGTCACATTGTGCAGCCTATTTAATCCCCTCACCCCTTCATTCACTCTTCACACCTCTTCTCTCTCTTCACACCTCTTCCTCTCTCACTCTTCATATCTATTCCCTTTGTATTTGAATTTTATTTCTACTATTTAAGAATGAGCTTACGTCCTGATTCTGTTCGTGTTGTGTTATATTACAATGGTAGGAAGGTAGAAGGTCGACGAGGTGTCATCTTTGAAGGTGAAAAAAGGCCGACACGTATCGAACGCAATGCAACCATTGGCGAACTGCATCAGAAAATTCGGCAGAAGCTAAGTCTTCAAGGCAACCAATGTATCACTCAGATCACGACAAGATTATGGCAATGTGATAAATACATTAGTTTGCAAGTGGTTGACGATGAAGACCTGGAGATGACAATGGAAGAATTTTTCAACCAGTCAAGGACAGATTTTCTGGAGTTGTATGTCGACATTGCCGCAACCGAGAATGTTCCCTTACCGGTGAGGTCAGTTGATTTAAATTCTGCCCGTCTTCCATCTTTGTCTGGCGCTCATGCGTCTCCAGTTGGTAACTATTCTGAGGGAGATGAAAATGATCTGACTTGGGAAATGCACGACGACGACGACGACGATGATGAAAATATCGCAATGGAAGAACGTCTTCTGGCAGAGGATGCTAGTGCTTCCGAAGGAGATGAAGGTGCCGAAATGGGTGGGTCTGAAATCCCAATATTCCATCAACCAGTGGTCGCGCAAATGACACAGTTGCATGACGTTGTGTCTGCCCCATTAGGGATTCATCATGAAAGTAATTGAAATAATGTGTATATAGTTGAGTACATACCTGATTTAATACCTGAATTAGAAAGTTTGTATTAATAAGTTACAATCCGCAGTTGCAGGTGACGAAGCTGTTATTCCTTTTTGGCAAGGAATTCCGCATTATTCCTACATTGATTGGAGTTATCATAGCGAACAAGAATCTTGCACTGATGGTACGGTCTCAAAATCGGGTTCAATACAAGGTTCGTGGCAACTGGGTGACAATTTATTTGTCAATCAAAAATTTGCAACAAAAAAAGATGTCCAAATGGCACTTAAGCACCTCCTCATTAGGTAGCATCAAGAAGCAATTGTAATTGAGAGCACGCCTGCAAAGTTATCCATGAAATGTTGTGCGTATGGTAAGGGTTGCCCGTGGCGCGTTAGGGCCATGAAACCAGTGTTTGGTGAAAATTGGAAGATTACGAGATGGGGTGGAAAACACAATTGTTTGAATGAGCACATTTCGCAGAGACATAGACAACTCGATGCGGACGTTATTGCAGATCTCGTCATAGGTACGTATTTATTTACCGTAATGACATGTCAACGTTTACGTTCTGCTGTGTAATTAAATTTGTGAGCTATTATCGAGTCTGGGTCCTCTTCAATGCAGGAATGATAAAGAAAGAACCATCTGTGTCAATCTCTTTGGTGCAAGAAAGGATAACTGCTAAATATGGCTTTAAAGTTTCCTACAGAAAGGCGTGGTATGCAAAGCAGAAAGCAATCGCAATTATTTACGGTGATTGGGAGGAATAGTACGTTTTTTTACCAAGGTGGTGCGAATACATGCTACGCTTTTCTCCAGGTTCATTTTATAATATCCAAACAAATTATCTTTATGCAAAGCAGAGCTTAGTGACTGGAAAGAAGGTGTTTCATCACATATTTTGGACGTTTAGACACTGTTGTGAGGCGTTCAAATTTGCCAAACCCGTTATTCAAATTGATGGAACACATTTATATGGGAAGTACAAAGGCAAATTGTTGGTGACCACAGCCCAAGATGGTAATGATGAATGTTTACCGATTGCTTTTGCCATCGTTGAAGGCGAGACCTTGGATGCATGGAACTATTTTCTTGTTAATATTCGTACTCATGCTACTGACATGTCAAACATATGTTTGATCTCCGATCGGCATCGTAGCATAATATCTGTTGTGGAGAATAACCCTAATTGGCAGCCACCAAATGCATATCACATCTTTTGTATTCGTCATATTGCAAGCAACTTCAATCAAAAGTTTCGGAATGAAGGTTTAAAGCGGATGTTAAAGAATTTAGGTATACTCATTGACACGATGCATATTTATGTCATTCCATTATGTTTATCAATTTATGTTTAATTCGTGGATGTCCATTATGTACAGGTTATACTCCGGCCATCGTTGATTTTGAAAGGAATCTTGCGAGCTTCAGTGAAAATAGTCCTCAAATTGCTGAGTGGATTGATGCCATTCCTAAGGAAAAGTGGTCGCGAGCCTACGATATTGAAGGACGGAGGTACGGTCATATGACAACAAATTTGGGTGAATCTGTCAATAGGGTTTTGAAGGGGGCTAGAAATATGCCTATAATTGCATTGGTTAAGCATACATATAG